TTGGACACGACAACGATCGTTTTCAACACGACGACCGTCGTGTTTGACATGGTGTGTCGGACACGACAACGATCGTGTTCAACACGACGACCATCGTGTTCGACACGACGACGACCGTGTCGACCATCGTGTTCGACACGACGACGACCGGGGTGAAAGTGTTCGAGAAAACTTGTTGACGTCACCGATAAACCAGCACTGGACACGGAGGCTTTTCTCTTTTTCGGGGGGGGGGCGTGTTGGCCGAAGCGGCACCAACCTGGAGAGCGGGGCAGTTGTCGTGTCGACGTTGGTGGACGGCTGCGCTGATTTTCCCAGAACGCGAACGATGACACAATGTCGCGGGAACTCATGTGCGCGAATCGCATTTCTGCTCTGCAGCTGAACGTCATCCCCGCGCCTCTGCTCCGGCCAAGGGGGGAAAAAGATCGCGGCCGACTTCAGGCATTGGATCGCCCTGACCGTCCGTATTCCCGGATCGGATGATCAGCAGGCGCGCGTGGAGGGCCCACCCGGAAAACCACTTATATGAAGCAGGCCCACCACTCCCCATCGGAAAATCCCGACCGTCAGTATTTTCGGATCGGACGGCCAGCAGGTGCTCGCGAAGGGCCCCCCTCCCGAAAAACTATATACATGAGGGAGGGCCACCAGTTCCCATTTTCGTTTCAGTTCGGCAAGGCAGCAGTAGAGCAGCGCAACGGAGGTTCGTCGACGCAGCGCAGCAGAGGCTCGTGCCACAGCGCAGCGCAGTGGAGGCTCGTGTACAGCGGGGCAACGGAGCGCAGGGATTCGGTCCGTGCATAGCCGACCACCTGCTCAACGCGACGGCGGACCACCGCGCTGTCGAGAGGCGTGTTCATCACGACGACGTAGCGAGCATACGACCCGAGATTGCGACGCACAACCACAACGGAGCACCCCGAGTTTGAAGGATCGGACGGTGAGGACACAACCACGCAGCCCAGATTCAACCACATAACGCCACGTGGCACTTTCGGTCGTCGAGTCGAACACGATGGTGCCCCATCGTCGAGTCGAACACGATCGCGCCCGATCGTCGAGTCCAATACGATCGTCTCCGATCGTCGTGTCGAACACGATCGTGCCCGATCGTCGAGTCGAACACGACAGTGCTCGACACGAACACGATCGTGCCCGATGTCTGATTATCGAGTCAAACACGACAGTTGAGTCGAACACGCTCGTCGAGTTGAACACGACACTGCCCGATCGTCGAGTCGAACACGATAGTCGACCCGAACACGATCGTCAAGTTGAACACGATACTGCCCGATCGTCGAGTCGAACACGATAGTCGAGCCAAACACGACACTGCCCGATCGTCGAGTCGAACACGATAGTCCAGTCGAACACGACACTGCCCGATCGTCGATTCGAACACGATAGTTGAGTCGAATACGACACAGCCCGATCGTCGAGTCGAATACGATCGTCGAGTCGAACACGATCGTCGATTGTGTTCGTCGAGTCGAACACGATAGGCGAGTCGAACACGTCGAGTCAAACAACGATCGGCGAGACGGACACGGTGGTCGAGTCGAACACGATAGTCGAGTTGAACACGATCGTCGATTGCGTTCGTCGAGTCAAACACGTTCGTCGAGTCGAACACGTTCGTCGAGTCGAACACGACCGTCAAGTCGAACACAATCGTCGACTGCGTTTGTCGAGTCGAACACGTTCGTCGAGTGCCCTGTCGTCGAGTCGAACACGATCGTCGAGTCTAGCACGATAGTCGAGTCGAACACGATAGTCGAGTCGAACACGATCGTCGAGTCGGACACGATCGTCGAGTCGGACACGATCGTCGAATCGGTCACGATCGTCGTGTCGAACACGATAGGCGAGTGCCCTGTCGTTGAGTCGAACACGATCCTTCCTTGTCCTCTAGTGGAACGAGAATGTGCGCGGTGCAATGTCATCGAATCGTTCATGATTGTGTGGAGTGCTATGGACCGTGCATGGGCGTGGATTGCGCTCATAGATTCTGTGCATTGTGCTGTCGTGCGGCATGGTTTGTTCTATTGTCAGTGGGAGCGGGGTGAATAGTTTTATGTTGTTGTTGGTTGTTCTATTGCTGATGTTGACCGTTGCCCTTGTGCCGTGTAGGGCGTTTTCTCTTCACTGTTGCTATGGAGATCTCTAATATGACCCCAACACTTTGGCGTGCACTCAAGGCACACCCTTTCCCACCTTGCGCGCTGTACGTCCGGCAATGTCAGGGTAGCGTAACCTATGAAGGCGCTTGTTCAGAAGACTTCGAATGCGACCCTTGGATGAGAATCCTCCCGTTTGGCAACAAACATTTGGACTCGTGGGAGGAGTGCGAGTGGGTGAACATGATGGAGAGATGCCCGTGGGCGTGCGATTATGAGTTCGCGAATATGTCCGAATTCCGCAAACGCATTCCCGTGCCGTTCGATGTGCTGCGTCCCGTGCGCTTGCCGCTACTGTGTAAAAAACTAAAAATAAGCCGTGTTGTGGGGGTTTTGGACTGCGAATACGTGACAACCTCGCCTCGCACCTGGTGTCGTATTATGAAATAGGAGTTACTCGATTGTGCGCGACATTCTCAGTTCCTCGATCATTATCCGTTGCGATCCTCTGGTCTGTCGCCAGGAGCAGTTTCGTATTGTTGTGTGAGATTGCGTCTGGCATAGTTTATCTTCTGTAGGGTCCTCTGTATTGCCGTTTCGAGCAGGGCAAGAAACTTGATTGATGTTATCGTGTATGTGTCCAGGAACGAGTTGTCTATGTCAGGAAGGGATATGTGTTTAGTTCAAAGAAGGGTAGATGGGAGACTGGATATCGTGGTGGGTGGCCAGGTGGAAGACGATGTCGCATGGCGCGAGGTCGAGGCTAAAGTCGTTTCAATTCGGGATGCTATAGGCGCTTCTCTCGTCGGGAACTCCAAGTTCGTGCGAATGACATACATTTCGGTGTTTGCTGAGACGGCGTAGCAGCTGACCTTCGGATCGCCAATTAGCGTGTTGAATGGCCGCAACGGCGAGATTGTTCCCCGTAGTCGGTAGATAGCCTTCGTCGTACTGGATGGCCAAAACGACATACTGAATGGCCGAAATGGCCGCAACGGCGAGATTGTTTCTCGTAGTCGATAGACAGCCTCGTGGAATTCACATTGCGATTGCTGTTCTCAATGTGTTATTTCGATAACAATACGTGGTATCTGCTGGTTGTTCTCGATTGYTGTTCTCAATGTGTTATTCRATAACAATAYRYRGTATCTGCTAGTTGTTCTCGTCATGTGTTCAGTGGCCAAAAGTACACACGTTTGACGTTGTTGTCCTCATATTGTTTTTCGATTCATTGAAACCCGGGAATGATGACACGTGTTTTTGGTTTGGCTTTGGACACCGACACATCGCTGCCAGCTGAGTGTTTGATTGTTGTTCTCATGTTGTGTTTCCTTTCGGAAAACAAAAATTCATTGTTTTGATGTTTTGCGTGCACAAACATTCAGCAGTCAATGTTTCTCCGTGTTAACCAGTGCCTGCGATCTGTTGTTTTGTGTTCTCGTGATCAAGTGCCCTTTTAGGCACCGTCCGCCGACCATTATGTCGAACATGGCAAATGTCGCACAACACACCCCAGTGTCGCTGTCGTGTTCGACACGATGGTCGCCAGACGGTGCCCGAAGGGGCACTTGGTCGACTGTCGAACGGCGGACGACAATGTCGCTGTCGTGTCAAACACGACGATCATCTCCCCTACAGGCACCGTTTGGCGACCATCGTGTCGAACACAACATGGACACTGTTATCTGGCGACCAGACGGTGCATGAAAGGCCGCTTGGTCGACTGTCGCACGACAGACAACAGTGTAGCTGTCGTGTCCGACACGACGGTTGGTCAGCCCGCGCAGTGCCGTCGGGTTCGACACGATAGTGACATGACGACACCGCAATGTCGCTCTCGTATTGGATTCGAGACGGTGCCCGAAGGGGCACTTGGTCGACTGTCGAACGGCGGACGACAGTGTCGCTGTCGTGTCGAACACGACGGTCAGCTCCCCTACAGGCACCGTTTGGCGACCATCATGTCGAACACGACATGAACACTGTTATCTGGCGACCAAGCGGTGCATGAAGGGCCGCTTGGTCGACTGTCGCACGACAGACAATAGTGTAGCTGTCGTGTCCAACATGACGGTTGGTCAGCCCGCGCAGTGCCGTCGGGTTCGACACCACAGTGACACGACGACACCGCAATGTCGCTCTCGTGTCGGATTCAACGGTCTGGAGGACGTCGTGGCACGACCGTCGAGTTCAACACGACAGTGAAACGACGATGAGCTGGCGGGCTGCGGCCCGCTTCAGTTGCCCTGTGTTCCTGTCTACTCTTGTTCTCAAGTGCTGTGGTGTTTGCACGTTGGCAAAGCAATGACTGCTTTCTAGCTTGTGTGTTTTCTTCAGTTGCGACTAGCTGCTCGACATGGATCGTGAGGGGAAGCCAAGCAAACGACGTACTAGTGCTGGTTCCGGGAGCATGGAGCAGTCTCCGAAAAAACCAAAGGGGACACCGATGGCTGGCGTGGGGGCTCGCGACACACCGGGGTCTAAGGGCCACCGAACCCCGGTGCTGCGGGGTGCACCTTCTACGGGCACTCCTTCCGCTCATGTTCGAGGTTCGGGACCGGATTCGGCTGTGCTGATGAGTGGTGGGCCTGCGGGTCGAGAAGAGGAGGCTACTGGTCGGCAGGGGAAATCTGCGATGGACGTTGTGCCGAGGCATAAAAGGTCTGGTGACACGTCCGCTGCAGGTGTGGGAGACGAGGTGCCTGTCGTCAACCACAAAAACAAGTGCTGGATGTTGGACTGGGTGGGTGGAATCGGGGAACGCTCGGGTGGGCTGGTTTTGTACGTGGTGATAAAAGATAACATTGTTCCGATTGGCGGTGTGGTTAAGTGGAGTGGAGAAAAATCACCGTCGGCCATGTTGGAGTTGACAATGGTCCCTAACGCTAGAGGTGAGCGGATGGCGGGTGTCAAACGCGTTGCTCTTCGTTGAGCCAAACACGCTGGGTACGGCTAGAGGCTTTAAGACATTTTCAATCCGCCTGGGACGGAGAAATTGACGTTGTCGGACCTTCGATCGGTTTTTGCATTCTTCGACAGACATGTGGTCGCAGGGTATGAGCCGGTGGTGCATGCTTCCGACCGCATATCTGAACCGAAAAGCGTGCTTTCGTCGTCTTTGGAGGCGGCTCCGTCGTCGAAACCGATCATTATAGGTGCCCGCCCTCCGCCACCAATTCGGACTACGGTTGCTGCAACACGAGTTCCGAAATCAGGGCAGATCGGGGAGAAAGGTCCGTGTCGCGGCCAAATCGTGTCGTCAGCTCCTGTGAAGCGTAGACCAACATCAACCAAGGAACCCGTTTCCTTGGTCCGCCCGTCGCGCTATGAGTTGGCCATTCCTGCTGGGTCGCATTATTTTGGAGATGACGACGACGAGAACAACGAAGAAGAATGGGAGCGTGATGAAGAACGTGAAGAATGTGAGGAGGGTGGCGAAGAAGAGGAAGTAGAGAGTGCACATACAATCAGCGAGAGGGGTGGGCCGGGCGAGTTGGAGGGTCGTCTAGGGGTTGAGTATGAGGACGAAGGGCAAGAAGAGGAAACGACCGGCGAGGGAGGGTATGCAGATGTGCATCGGGGTTCCAAACGAACGCAGCTGCTCGCGCCGGGTCATGGGCATTGGGAAGCAGATCCAGGGCGCGGGGAAATGCACCGAGAAGTTGGGGTCGAGCCGGCGCATGCTGATGCAGTACAACTAGCTGAGAAGAAAAGGAAGATGAGGCAATAGAGGAGAAGTGCTATGGACAGTAAGAAAACCAAGCAGGAGGGGGGAGCCAAGCAAGAGGAGGGCAAGCGCAAGTTGAAAATGCTGGCAGTTGAGGAGGCCGTCCAACGTACGCAGGAGGCTGAGGAGGCCATGAAGAAAAAACAGCAACCAAGGAAAAAAGCAGCGAAGGGAGGTGTGATGGAAAAAACTTTCGTTTTTCCACCGGACCAGCCACAATCGGATGAAAACGCTGTGGGCAAGACAGTCACCAGACCGCCCGGTTTGCAGATTCTGCCGCATGGGAATTCTTCTGGTCATCTGAGCAAAGGCTTCTTCCTTGAGTTCGACGAGAATGGTAACCAGAGGCCGGAAATGCAGTTCATTTCTGTCAAGTTGGACAGGATTCTGGATATCCCTGATGAGGAATTCAGATATAATCAACGCTTTCTCGATCAGGAGCGTATTGATGACCTTTACAAAACAATGGTTGAGTCGGGTGACGCAGCTATCAGAGAGAGATATGTGCATTGTACGAGAAGCCTGTCCTTCTGTTGATTGGGCTACATGATACAATGCATACTGACGCTTCCGGTACAAATGTGAGGGCGAGAAGAGTGACGCCCCGCGAATTCGATCTCCAATCCGTGCGCAAGTACTACTGGTACCCTCTCAGTGGTCAACACAATGTTGCGGCGGCGAGGAAATGTTCTCAAGAACGCCCTGACATCGCCCGTGAGCTCCGTTTGGATTGTTGGACTGCAAGGCCTGTTTACTATCCGGATAGGAGCATGGAAAATTACTGCACCTTGAGCACTTTCCAAAATGCGAAGGACAAATGGAATACTCCTCCGCACCAGATTGCTATCATTAAGAACATATGAAAGTTGTGGCAAGCAGCCGGTCGTCCAGAAGCTATCGGCGGAACTGCTGCAGACGTCAAAAATAAGGATTACAGAGAGTTTGCAGCGATGGCTCTGCGCGCGACCGGGAGTGATCATTTGGTTACTCTTTCACTTTAGGCTTGGAGCAGGGAGTGGTCCGACTTCCTCGGGCCTTACATGATATTAGCAAGGGCGACGGACGATGTGTTCGACAAGGTGCAACAAGTGTATTCTGCTTGGGAGAGTGGACAGTACCCGGGGAGAGATGGTGTGAAGCCTGCCACCAAACAAGGTGAATCGGGGAAAGCGCCGAGACTTGGTCCCAGATTCGAGTTGGAAAAAGGAGTCAGGGTTCCAGTGCACTGGATTCAGGGTACTAGAGGACCTGGTTACCTCGTGGCTGTGCGCGATCCAGATGTCAGATCATGGAAGGCTATGTCTACGTTGGGGAGGCGTGAGAGGCTGCAGCTGTTGAGAGACATTCTCACGGGAAGTGTCGTACTGGCTCCAAGGCTAAGTAAAGCTGCTCACACTGCCGGAAAACATTCGATGGAGACATACGTGGAAATGATGAAGCAGAAAAGAGCAATGTTGAGAATGTTTCACTACTTCGTCTTCATTTCTGACCCTCACAAGAAGCCGTCAGAGTGGAAGGAACCATTCTTCGACAACCTTTCTGATTTGTTCGCTAGGTATTCTGATCAGGGATTGACATCAGAGAGGTGGATCGACCAGCGACGACATTTCAAAGAAACGAGTTGGGTGCGGTCATTTCCGGCTACACTTGGAGGCGAGGATGAGACAGGAGAGGAGGGCTTCAAGAAAACAAAATCGCTTGCAAATAAATGCCCCGAAGAGTTCATTCAATTTGTCAACAAGTTGTTGCGTAGATCTGAATCTGGGGGTTCGCATAGCATTCGTATGTCGGGATAAGCGAGATACATATATTTCCAGAAACAGGACGTGACATCTGTATTTGTGTCGTTCCAGAGCGATGTTTCAGACGAGATGGATTGCAAGGAGATGTTTAGAGCCGTCAGACACCTGACGTGCCACACAACCGTCCTGGATTTGTGCCGCCCGACCCAGATGGGTGCGTGGACTGAACAAGTGTTTGCTGGACTCAAGAAGTTCATGGACAAACTTGGCGGCGCGTATTGGACATTGTTGTGCTTCGTTCCACGCCCTTGCGAGTTCACATTCTTGAGGCGAGTCGCGATGTGGGACATTCACTTGGATCTTCTCAAATGGACTCGTTTACAACAAACAAAGAGGAAAGTGGCATATAAGGTTGCAAACTTGTCTTTGGAGGACACAGACAGAATGGTGGTCATCATGTACTCCAACGACGGGGATTTTCATCGCAACACTATTCCCTTGTTTGAAGATATTCAAGTTGCAGGTTCATCATCTGCCGAGCGGGTGGCTGACATATCGGCACTTGTGCGGAGAGAGAGAAAGCCAAAGATGTTGACTGATGTCGTGGAGAAGAACTTTCTACCATCAAAGTGGGAAATGGCAGGTATGGATCCACCGGAGAAAGTGGTCTATGATGGTATGGAAAGGGAGCCGAATGCGATGGTGAAGACATTGGAGCATTTTTGTCCTGCGGATGAGGCTGTCGTTTTCCTCGGGAAAGGTCATGCGAGATTGGTTTGGGAACTGTTAAAGAGTCACCGTCATTGCATTGTGCTGGAAGGGGAGGGTATGAAGTTTGAGTTCCTCATGCATTTCATTGACAAGATGATCAAAACTCGAGATTACTACGCCAACTTTACTAAGCCGCCTCCTCGACATGATGAATGGCGTGATCTCGTCTACAAGGTTGGCCAAAACGTGGTCAATATTTGAGAGTTTCTCTTCGAAACAAAGCCGCAAGACAGAGGGGAACGTACTTATGTCCTCAGAAGAAGACAAGTGGAGAAGCTCTTGAGGGGTTAGCATAAAGCACCATCGGAGAAGGAGGTTTCATTTCTCGACCACTTGGAGACCATGTACTTCGACCAACAAATCGGGGCGTTTACAATCGCAGGTTATGCGATTTGTTTTGTGGATGGTGAAGACTTTGATGCCGACGACTCAGAAGAAGAGAGTGTTGATGACACTTTGCAAGCGGCTTTGGCAGCTGAGAGGCAAAGAGCTTGTAGCCCGGATTCACAGAGAATGGGTGTTCCAGGCACATCGTCCGGTTTTGGAGGAGCTTCGAGCATGACGGTTTCAACGGGTCAGTTAATGACTCAGCCGCCGACTTCTTCTATTGTTACGCCGACTCAGATGGCGGGCAATACGATGGCGGTGGCATCCGGAGGCAGTTTGGATCCGAGTGTTCTAGCAATGATCTCCCCAGAGTTGGTGGCAACTCTGGCACCATTTGCACACAACCCAAGTATTATTATGGAATTGCTACGCTTTCGAACTCCACAACAACCTCCACCTGATGAGTCTTTGGAGTATGAGATTGGAGACACAATCCCTGCAGACATTCGACTGCTTCCGGGGCCTATAGTGTGCCGAGACGATTATACGGTGACGGATGATGCCACATGGGGTCATCACATTATATGAAACCCCCAACACTTTCAACCTGCATTGGCGAGAAGGAGGTTGGTTATGGCTATAAAAGAAGAAGGGGAGTGACAGTTTTGTCTCCACAGACGTATCTCAGGATCGAACTTTCTGAAACATGCCAAAAATCAGATTGCCAACATGCTCGCCGCCAAAGATGGAGAATGGTTAAATGATGAAGTCATCAATTTGTACCTGCTAGCCGTTCAGATCACCAATGACTACATCAAGAAGGTGGATTTGACATGTGCAGAAGTGGCAAAAGATGGAAGTTCTTGTAGCATTCCATCTGTGCATATTCTAAATTCTTTTTTCTTTCCCAGATTATCAAAAGCTCAGTCCGCTGAAATCGCATACTCCGAAGGGACGAGATGGGTGAAGGACATAAATCTTTTCAATTTTGATTTGGTATTTATCCCTCTCCATTTCGAAAATCGTTGGGCCTTCGCTTATGTCAGTATAGATCGCTCTGAGTGTAAATTCCGCCTCGTAGACTCTCTCCATCGTATTGACTACGGTCCAACCTTCAAACTTTTGGCAGGTTTTTTCAGAGCGGAGTTTCAGCGATAAAATCTTCGGGAAAAATATCATGTGGAGGAGCCTACATCCTACTTTGATGCATCAGTAGGTGGGATTCCTACTCAAGAGGATTCTTCTAGTTGTGGTGTTTTTATGTTAGGTTTTGCATCTTTGCTTGCAAAAGGTCACTTCCCTCCGTTCGGTTTCTCAAAGATAGTATTCCTAATATGAGACTTAGAATAACATTTGACATTTTGTCTATGGTTAGATAGGAAAGTCAATGAGAATTCAGGTTCTAGGTCTGGAAAAATGAGGTTGACATGTTTACTTAGTGTGAATATTTCGGGTGAAAATGTGTATTGTAGACAATTTTGAAAATATGTTGACAATGTATAATGACATTTCCTAGACTTCTCATCAGTTTTTGATGAGGTTGGCGTGTTTTACTGAGTGACATGTTTACAAAGTGGATTGCCAACAATGTATAATGATATTTCATAGACTTCTCATCAGTTTTTGATGAGGTTGGCGTGTTTTACTGAGTGTCATGTTTACAGAGTGGATTGCCAATCCTTGAGTGACATGTTTGCGGCTTGTGTACGTGTGAATATTCGAGGTGAAAATTTGTGTTTAATTTATTTCAACAACTTTCATGTATAACCATTGTTTTCTCATTGTTTGCTTATTTTTTCCTCAGTTCTTGGTGTCATTTTACAATTAAAATAAAAAGTGAACATGAAAACAATTTCACTTTTAACGAAAACATCGTTTCTCTCTCTCTCTCTCTCTCTCTCTCTCTCTCTCTCTCTCTCTATCTATCTATGTATCTATCTATCTATCTATCTATCTATTTATGGCTATCTCTCTCTATATGCAGTCATTGATGTCGTTGCATGCCAGGTCCGCCAGAAGACCCAACGCTTGACATTTGCGAAAGTGCATAGCGTATTGTCCAGCAGGAGAAAAGGACAGGAACAAACCACGAAAACCCACGACATGAGCCAAAAAAACGATTTTCCCCCCAATACAGAACGCGGTTTGTACGAAAGGTGAACACGTTTTCAACACGTTTCAACAAGCTTTCAACACAGTTCAACAAGTTTTCAACACGTTTCAACAAGTTTTCAACACATTTCAAC